CACTTGACTCAGAGAATGGGAGTCAGGCATAGCTCAGTTCAGATAAGCCCTTGACAAATCTTCATAGAGAAATGAACAGGGAAAGAGGAGGGGCATTGAGCAATTGTAGAGTCCTAGACTAGAGCAGTATTAAAAATGTAGTGTCTTAGTCACTTTCCCATTGCTGAGACAAAATACCCGACACCCACACTTTAAAGGAGGAGAGGTTTATTTTGGCTCACAATTTCAGTCATGGTCTACTGGTTCGGATGCAGAAACAGGATGGCAGAGGGGCAGGTTGGAGGGAAGGGTGCTCAAACCGTGGCAAGCAGGAAGCAGAGAGTGGAGGGAGTAAGCAGGGAGGAAGATACACCCTCCCAGATCACACTCCCCAGGGACCTGACTCTTGTTCAGGCCTCACCTCTCCCCCCACCAACCCCCAGACCTTGCTCTTGTGAGGCAGGCACCGGAACCACTGAATTAAATCCCCAGCCTCACCTCTTAACAGCATGTTTAGCTACTAAACTCATCATGGATGAGTCCATTGATGAGTATAGCGCCTCCATGAGTCAGTCACCTTCCAAAGACAAGAAGCTTTGGAGGGGACATTTTAGATCTAAACCATAAAGTGTAGTATGGTTTGTATGGCAGGGACTTTGACCAATCAAAATGAAGAACCCCTAGAACTGGAGCAGCCCTCTGGAGGGCCCCTACTGAGACAGACATTAACTCTTTAGTTGCTGGAACAGAAAGGAGTGCAGAGTACCAGGACAGTTGGGGACACTGAGCATTTTGGAGCAGAAGCTGGTTACCCATCACTAAGGAAGGAAAGTAAGATTTGGACAAGTGGGATGGTGGTACAGATTTTCCTTAGGGGAATGTCAGTCCTGATTCTGAGGCAGATGGAGTCAGTCCTAGAGGTCATAGAGAATTCACTACTGGAAACCTAAAGGGTCCTGTCTACAAGACAGGGTGGGGACAATGAAGAAATTCTCCCTCTGCTCCCATGCAAAGAGTGAGTCAGACACTGGCTGCACTGTTGCATACAGCACCAGGCCTATGTCCTTAGTGTCAACCCTGTGTCTCACTGCCGCACATCTACAATGCCATGCCCAGTGTCCTGAAATCAGGACTCACTCTTTTTTTTTTTTTTTTTTTTTGGTACCAAGGATCAAACCTGGGACCTTGTACTTTCGAGCCAGGCACCGGAACCACTGAGCTAAATCCCCGGCCCCTAGGACTCACTCTTGAAGAACATCAGTCTGTTTCAGTGCCAGAGAGCTCAGAATATGAGCTAGTTAAAACAGGAGGGAACCCTGGAAATCAGATAATCCACCATTCTCTTTGGACATATAGGGAAATTGAGGCCTAAAAGAGGAAACTGTAGGGCCATACATCTAATTAGTGCTAGAGCTGGAATGAGCAAAAAGCCGTCCCGGCTCCCAGCCTGAGACAACTGCCTTCTTTGCTGTTAACCCAAGTCTTCATTATATTTGAGGGAAAACACCAGAATATCCTCAGGGCCAGCCTTCCACAGAGGTAAACATGGTGTGATCAAATGTTTCTCCTCAATTGCCTGTCACTGTGCCTAAAATTTTACCATCAGTGATTCGTTCCTTTGAATCTTGAGTATTTCTGCTCTTTCGGGGGATATAGATGAGGAATTTATCAACAATCCCTAGGAGAAAGGCTTTAAACATTAGACCCAGGTTATACGGTTGTAGGAAAGCAGTGGCAGCTGGTTCAAGGAAGAAGATACAGGCCAGGAAAAGATGGAAACTCAGAACAAAAATCTGAATCCAGGACTCTGGACATCCTGATGGGACAAGGAAAGAGTATTTGCTATCCCCACAACCAAAGCTTCTGTTAAGCCCTGGTTTGGGCACTCAAAAAGCATTTTCTGCAGGAGACTACACTGTGACCCAGGAAACCTGAATCACCACGCTGCGGCTCATGCTGGGGAGAAGAGCAGGAGAGTGAAGAATAGCATCAGGCTATCTGGAGTGGCCACAAGGGCATTTTATTAAGAGAAGCGGCCTGTGTGAGATGGATGTGACAAGGGAATCTATAACGATATTGAAAGAAGCCTCAGCCACAAGAGGGATGGGCTCTGAGGCTGCCAAGGAAGGTTGGGTGTGGAATCTGTCTGTTCTGCACCTCCACCAGGGTGCTGGTTGCAGGTGCCCTGGCCCAAGGCCGGGATGCTTTGTGTTGTTCCCTCTGACTTCCATTCTAGTTCTGCTGTAAAGCTGTGCAGGGCAAGTTTGGACTTGACTGTGGATCCCAGGATCCTGGGCCTTCTCTATTCCTCCATCAGTTCTAGTGTTTTTATATCCAAGGTGCTTTGGAGTGAGAATCTTGTGGGAAGCGAGAGGGAAAGTGAGGAGGCCAGTGGGTTTGTTTGGAAACATTTTGCCTAGCAAGACCTAGTTTTTCCTCAGAGCATGTGTTTACATAGGGTTGCAGGGTAGAGGGGGTGCATCTGGGATTTGGGAACTTGTCTTGAGGCTGTGTTTGCCTATCAAGTATAATAGTCAGACCTCCATTTACTTGCATTCATATTCTTGGATTCAACCAACTAGAGATGGAAATACTACCAAAAAGTTGTGTTTGTGCTGAACATGTATAGAATTTTTTTCATGTCATTAGATCCTAAACAATACAGCATGACAACAATACACATAGCTTTTACATTGTATTAGGTATTTTAAGTAATCTAGAGACAATTTAAGGTATACAGGAAGATATGCATAGATTATATACAAAGACTGCACCATTTTACATGAGGGACTTGAGAATCCTTGGATTTTCATTTCCATGGGAGTTCCTGAAGCCAATGTCCTACAGATGCCGAAGGATGACTGCACTGTACTTCAGATTGTAGTTATAGTTGAGACGGCTCACAGAGGTGAGCAGAACAAGCTAAAGACCCCCCCCCAACAAAAAAACCTTATTAGTTCTGTTGTAGATCTCAGCTATTTGGGAAAAACACAGAAACAACACCTCCAGCTTTCAACAAAAATAAAGCCTCCTCCCTTGTTGCCATCCTCTGCTGTCTGACATGAGCCCTGTGCTCATAGGGTCTGAGGACCTCAAGTAGTTTGTAGCCAGACACCTGCAGTCTTGGGGTTGCATGGGAGGAGAAGGCTGCTAGGACCAGGAATTAGAGACCCAGAGCCAAGACTGTCTCACTGGCTCCATTCAAGTCCCCAAAACAATCTCCGCAGTTTAAGGCCAGGTCATCACTAACCTATGTGATGGCACTGATGAGGGAGAGCTATATTTCACTGAGCAGGGACTCCTGCCCAGGTGCAGGCTCAGTGATTCATGGAAGATGAAATTCAGTGCAATCCATTTGAGAGAGTCAGCCAGGATTTCTTTTAAGCTTTACTTCCCAGCATCCCCCTCCTACCTTGAAGACAGACTAATCTCTATATTTGTCTAGTGGCTTCATACTTTCCAAAGCTCCTTCACATCCATTATCTCCATCAAGCCTTAAAAACACCCCCATAAAGTAGGACAGAAGCTGTTATTATCCCTGTTTGACCAACAAGAAAACTGAGGTCTGGAAAGGATACAAGACTGATCCAGGATCACACAGCTATTTAGTCTAAGAACTAGGAATTCAAATGTGCTTCCTAACTTTCAGCCCTGTAATCTTGCCAACTTCCATGTGAACTCCTGCTCCTAACACTTTACCCAGCACAAAGGAGGTGCTAATAATTTGCTACCTGAGTAACTGAATATCCAGGAGCAAGGCAGGAAGGAATACAAGTTCAACAATAGCTAGGGCCCAGGATTTAGCTCAGTGGCACAGTGCCTACCTGGCAAGGGCAAGACCCTGAGTTCAATCCCTGGTACCAAACAACAACAATAAAATTGGCTCTCTTTTAAATGATCAACATAGGACAGGACAGGCAGGTTGTGTTGTTTCATCATTTTGACCAGGAAAGGAGTAAGAGCTTTCCCATTTCACAGATGTCATCTTCAAAACATGAAGATTAGGACAGCTCTTAAATGGAAGCCATGAGGCTTAATCCCCCAACAAAGCTTCCTTTCACTCACCCTTTACAGAGGAATGGGTATGCTGTAGGTCCTCACTCCCCTACCAGGAAGGAATCAGAATTGACTCCATGTGAAGAGAGGATCTTCTCCACCTTGTCCCTATGAGCTCTTTCTCCCTCCAGGTCTCCCACCTGGCTCCCTGAGGTTCTGCTGTGGAAGAGGTGTCTGAGAACACTGGTTGCCACTCCTTTAGGACTTCAGCAGCCTCTCCCCATGACACTTCTACCATAACCCAGACCTCATAGACTTGGAACTGGTCTCCTGCAATGCCACCTGGACTCAGACTTACCCCCTTCTCCTTTTTCTGTCTCCCATCGGGCCTGGCACATAATAGGTACCTAATAAATGTTAAATGAATGAATTGTCCCTGTTACGAGCAGTACAGTTGAGTTCCTGCCTTCCAAAGCCTCGCCCCTTCCCCAACCACAGACAAATTGATGGGGTTGCCACTAGTCCCTAGTCCAGTCAGAAACATGAGACGGGAGGTGGAGACCCACGTCTTCAAATGCTGCTTTGCATTAGTACCAAGTACCTTTAGAAGCAGACAGTCCCAACTTTGAGATCCCTTAGGTTTCTAGTCTTAGGCCCACCACTTTGTAGCTCGGTGTGTTGGGGGCTATTCACTTTGCTCCTCTGATCCTCTGTTTTGTTCTCTATATAGACGAAAGAATGCTGGAAAGAGACAATGGACGCAAAGCAGGATGTCCAGCACTTAATGAGTGTTCAGCAAGCAGCAGCTGGATTATCCGCACATCGGTAGCCAGCGGGAGGGGTGCGGGCTGAGGCCGGGTTGCTGTTGTGGGCTGAGAGTCCACAGATGTGGTGTTTACCATCTCTCCCTCCGCTAGTTCACCGTCTCAGCCACGGCTCTAGGGCCAGCCAGTCGCCTCCTTTAAGATTCTGGTCACAGCAAGGGCTGGATTTCTAAGGCTCGCGTGATCTTTCTCTTCCTACAGACGCCGCTGTCGTTACCGTCGGCGCTTGGCACAGCCAGGGGCAGAGTGAGGAGACCGAGAAAGGGTTCCCAAGCCAGGCTGCTATCCAACCTTTGCCCGGAGAGGGCCCTGACAGTAAGTACTGCGCTTGGAGCTGCCGGGTTGGGGCACGCCTGGGAAAAGGCCAGAAAATGGGGGTCTGTAGGGTTGGGGGGTCGGCAGCTGAGGGCTAGGATCCTCGCCTGCCCCTGACAGTGACCTGGGGGAGGCCCTAGCAGGGAGTCCCTCCTCCTGGATGGGCACCCTCTAGCCTCACTCAATGAGTGGACGGAGTTGACCAGTCAGTTGGGAGCGGACATCCCTCTCCATCCCCCATCCCGAGCCCAGCTCAAAGGATTTGTTCTGGCCCCAGGCAGCCAGAGGGTGCCTTCGAGGCGCCTCTGAAGAGGGAATTGCAAGGCAAGATGCCGAGACTGAGGTTTTGGTCGTCCGTGAAAAAGTGGCAGTGTGAGCTAAAAGTTTTTCTGTTGGAGGTGGGGGGCAGAGAGGGTGGAGGATGCTAAGGGTAAGGAGAATGAGAGGTTGGGGGACTGCCCTTCCAAGTACTCAGAACTGCCCAAGCCCAGCCTGAGGTTCTATCCCCTGAGGGAAGCCGTTCTTGGGAATGGGGTTCTTATGCCCCCCACCACCACCAGCACTTCGGCTTCCCCAGGCACCTTGGCTGGTCTACTCTCCAGGACCTTTGGCTGCACAGAATGGGGCGAGCTGGGCCAGGGGCAGGGGCACTTGAGGCCTCTGCCTTCTCAAAGCTCTGAGGAGGAGCTGAGAAGCGTGACCACCCAACCCCGTGGTGCATTACGTGCAGAAACGTTGGTAAGTGGGACTATGCAGGAGCATACCTGTCACTTTCTTTTCTTGGATTTGTAAAATTCAAGGTAGAGGGAGGGTCTGAGATAACAAAGGCCAGTGTATCCAAGTCAGTCCTTTCTCAGAGAACACCCAGATCTCCCTTCAGCTCTTCCACCTGAGCTCAACCATTCATGTTCCCTGAGCTAAACTTAACCGGTAGTTAACAAGAATTCGTGTACAATAATAAGAACCCTAGCTGACATTCACTCAGTGCTTGCTGTGTGCCAGGGCACAGTTCTAAGTGCTTTATATGTATTATTTTATTTAATCTTCACAACAACTTTGTAAGGTAGATATTGATATTATTCCTATTTTACAGATGAGGAAATGTGAGGCACATAGGTCCTCAGACCTCAAGTCGCACACCTATCTAAAGGAAGAGCTAGGATTTCTGCTCATCTTACTTCAGGTCCCATTGTTAACTAGTGGAAATATGATGAGAAGTACAAAACAGAGCTTGATTTCCCTATGGCCAACTTATTTATTCTGTAGATCTGAAGTCAGGACTATGGCCCAAAGAATTTCAAATCCTGGGCCAAGGATTTGGCTGTGCCTCACAAGCACAAGGTCCCAAGTTCGATCCCTGGTACCAAAAAAGAAAAGAATTTCAAATCCATTTTCATTGTGTCGCCCCCACCCCCACCCCGGTACTGGGGATTGAACTCAGGACCTTTCGCCTGCAAGTGGCGCTTGTGGCACCACTGAGCTAAATCCCTAGCCCTTCAAATCCATTTTCAGATCATCACCATTATATCCTGTGGAGAAAGGCAAACTGAGTGGACTATAACAAACAGGAGATCCTTTTAGGAGGTGCCTAAGAATAACAATAATAAATTGTTCTTACCTACTATTGGCTGAGTACTTACTTGCCCTAGCACTTTGTATATATTTAATCTTCGTGTAGGTGCTTTGAAGTAGGTACTATCATCAGCCCCATTTTATAGATGAGGGAACTGGGCATAAGAGGTTAAATAACTTGCCGCAGAGTTGGGATTCCAGCCCAGAACCACTAATTCCAAATCCCAGTTTGGAACTACCCTTTGGGAGATTAGAGCATGAGGCAGAGCTTTGTCTCGCTGTAGCCTCCCAGTCACTTGCTAGGAGCTCTGTACTATTCTCTCCATTCATTCCCCAGCCCCCTTTCACACCAAGAAATGAATTGTACAGGTTGGCGGAAAAAAGGAATTCCTGGAAGAGTTGGCGGGTTCCGCATATATTTGGGTTTTGTTGTATTGTCATGCATGTAACATCAAAAAGTTGTTCTGCTTTATAAGTTTTAGTAATTAGAGAAGTGTCTGGTCTGCTGACTTGGAATTGTTAATCCAATATTATATCTCTGTTTGAGTACCTCTGTTGGGAATTGTTTTCTAAAAAGTTTTTAAAACTTTATTTACAATACTGGGAAAAGCTATCTTCCCACTTCCTACAGAGGGAGAAGGCTTGTCTCTCAGCCAGGATTTCAGTAGCAGAAACTGCAGCCCATGCATGAGTAATACTATGGCTGTGTCCTCACATCCCCCAGCATGATCTATGTGAGCTGAAACCTGAATGTGGCAAAGACCCTTAGGGCTGTCCCTGTGTCACATCTGGCCCTACATTTGGATTATTTGTAACTTCCTGCCATTGGCCCAGCCATTCACAGAGCTGGCTTCACAGGGACCCTCTTCAGTGTAGGCACAACAGGTGTGTGAACTTCATGGCTTCGGCCCCCATTGCTAAGTCTAGATCTCAGTGTATTTACTGGTGATCTATCTTTCCTGCTCCTCCCGTGAAAGAGCTGCCCTCCATGTGTAGCTTTGTGGTGGTGCATGAGACATAGGGCTGGTAACCCCAGTGCTGGGCTGTCTCTTGTTGTCTCTGTGAGCCCTTCAGAGTTCACTGTATCATTTCACAAGGGCACAAGAACGAAGTCAATGGGGAACAGTGAGCAGGAGATGGTGTTCAAGTTAAATTTTGCCTGAATTTACTCTATAAATTTCTTTTTAGTAGCAGTGACTTAAATACCTGGAAGTTTCTTTCCCTATTTATTGAATCTCCGTAACTATTCCTTGTCACATTTGACATTCCTTTCCTAGAACGTCCTTCTCCACTTTGCTAGAGTGGAAGAAATCTGCTGGGAATCAGTATGGTGGGTGCATATCTTCATGTGTGCTCCCATGCCTCAGATGACACATGATTTTATTTTATTGTATTTTATTACCTATTTCTATGTATTGCTGTGCTAGGAGCACTGAGTTGTATTGCAGTCTTTATTTTGTTTTGTTTTTATTTTTAAATTTTGAGCCAGGGTCTTGCTAAATTGCCCAGGCTGGCCAGGAACCTGCCATTGTCCAGCCTTAGCCTCCCAAGTAGTTGGGATTACAGGCCTGTGCCATCATGCCTGGTAACACACAGTTTTATATTGTTTGTTTACATGCTCACTCCAACCTTATAGACTACAACCTTCCTGAGGGAAGATAGTGGGCACGTGATAGATGCTCAGTAGATTTTTGTTTCATATATGAATGAAGGAGTGAATTAATACTATATAAAAGCTGGTGGAGGAAGCCCCTGACTCACAGCCAGGAACTCTGCTATCATCCCCCTTATTAAAGGGAAATAGGAGCAGAGTTTGCATTATTCTGCAACAGAGAACCCCAGCTCTTTGGATTTTTTTTCACTGAGAAAAAATACACTGTAATGCCCAAACATGAATGCTTGGGGAAGGGCTTTCCTGACTAGTAGAATATTCTTGGGTAAGTGAGGGTTTGGTAAAAACAAATCATTTTTCCTTACCCTTTTTGATTATTTCTAAAATGCCTAGGCCTGCTTTTCTACCTTAGTGATCAAATGTGGAGTCCATCACCAAACGTGTGGTTGAGTAGGGAGCCTGTGGGTTCACAGGATTCCCTAGTATTCTGTTTGCCCCAAGCTTGGTTGTAGAGTGGGATACAATCTCCTACCACAATCCCCAACTCCTGCCTGTCCTTAATGCACCCAAAGATAAGCCCAAAGGGCTTTTGAGGTTTGTAATTCACTGCCAGCCCCTCTAAGAAACAGATGGGGGTTCCCAGTAACAATATGGGGGAGGTGAAGATACTTGGGTGACACATGCCCTCTGAGCTGGTAACTCAGCAGGCACTCTTGCCCTTGGCCTTCATTTCTTAGGTGGAGGGTTCACCAACCTCATCCACCCTTTTCTGACCCCAGGTAAGACGTTATAATTCCTCCCTCTTAACAGGAAGGTACAATTAGGCTGCATAAAAGGTGTCTTGTTCCCTTGAGGCTGCGTTTGGCATCTCTGGACACCTCCAGATGGGGTGTCATAAGTTTACCAGGCCTCTGTTCTTCTTTGTCTAGTGGCTTCTTGGCCTACTCTCTGTTGTGACCCTGGACTGTACTGACTGGACAGGTTTGGAGATGTTGCAGGGGTAGAGTAGGGCTGCTCCCTCACAGGAGATCAGCCTGGTACCTGCTGGGCACAGGGCCTGGACCTCTGATACTACCTGCATCATTTCGGGCATCTAAGCAAAGCAGTGGAGTAAATGTGCCTTTTTATGTCCAGCTTTGCCTATCCTGGCCTTCCTTTCTCCTCCCAAGCTCCCCAAAAGGGTACTGAGATGAGAACTTTGTGCCCCAGCAAAGCCAGATGGGAGATGGAGTGAAAGAAAGGCCTTCTCACCGTTTACCCTGGTAACCTATAGCTTCTTGTTTCCCAACTAGCCTCTGCCCCTCACTGCATGTCATCTTCATGCTTCCTGCTACATACTCCCTGTTCCTTCAGTCTCTAGGCCTGTTCTCTCTGCCCATCCTCTCTATTTGCCCAAGTCTGGCCCTTCCCGCAGAACCCAGCTATAGTCCTCATCTAGAAAGCCTCCCAATGCAGCTTCTGGAAATCAGCAGAGGGTAAACAAGGAGCAAGTACTTAACTTCCAAGGTCCTGCCAACTCTGAGATTATCCAGGAGTTGACTAGTCAGAGGTTAGGGGCATCCAAGGCTGGTGGCCAGGCCATCAGTATCTAACAGTGTCACAGAGAAGAAGGAGATGGCCCAGCCACCCAGATAAATAGGCCCTCTTTTAGCTTCAGGAAGCTTTGTCCAGAACCCCTTGCAACCAGTGTCTGCCAAGTGGCCCCCAGAGGGGTGCTATTTGGGCCCTGGGTCTTTGGCTGCTGGAGGCAGTTACTCATTGGGAAGTTCTCAGAAGCCCCTGCCCACACCTGTTCCCCCTGTCTTCCCTCCAAGCATTGTTTACAGTTCAGCCCTTGGCAGGCTAAAGGCTGGAATCCAACAGAAGAGAGAACTGTCCACTGGGTAGACAGGGACTCTCTTCTGGCTTGACATTCTGTGTCAGAGCTCCAAAGCCCAGCTTGGGCTTGAAGAGATGTGTGCGTGGAGGGGAAGAATTCAGGCCTGCTGCTCCTTTCCCTGCCAACTCCACTTTTCCCATATGACCATGCCCTCCCACCTTCTGGAATTCTCTCCCCTTCCTATTTTGCTCTTCTCAATCTCCTCTTTCACAACAAAAACCCAGCCTCTGGTGACTAGAAAATTGGCCTAAATTAGGAAGGTCCCCATGCCCTCTGCAGCCCCATCTGTGAAATGAATAGGTAATGGTGCCAGTATGGCATAACAACTGTCCCCATCCCAGGAAGAGCTCCATCACCCAAAGTCCTACCAGAAGGCTCTCATGTGGCCCTTGAGCAGCAGTGGGAGCTTTGAGGGCATTGTTAGGAGACAGCTACTAGGCATCTATAGAGCTGGTGAGGATCTGGAGGGGGCCTCCTAAAATCTAAGGCCACCAGAGTTGGCAGCACAACATCTCTGTGGCGTTTGCCTTCCCTAAGCTTGTCCTTGTTCCTTCACTGTCTCCAAGGCCCTCTTGTTTCATTTCTCCTCTTCTGTCTTGTTTTCACTGCCTCTCTTCCTCTTGGCTCTGTCTGCCCTCTTTTCCTGATCAACTGTCTTCCCCTCTTACTTGTCTC